TTTATAGAATTTATTTATAGAATTATTAGAATTTATAGAATAACTTCATAGAAATAGAAAAAATAATAACAGAATTCATCCAGAGGAAAAAAAGTCAAGAATTTTAATTAAAATTATAGATTGCTTATGGGAAGACATGGATAAAAATTATAGAAGATGAAGAAGTCACTGCTTGAAGACCTCCAAGGAAAAGGAACCCACTATCTCTTAAGGCAGGCCACTCCACTTTCATATAATTCTAAATGTTAGGAAATGTTAGCCCTGACATCAAGGCTAAATCTCCCTCTCCGCAATTCTCACCTACCACTTCTGGTTTTACCCTCTGATATCAAAGAACATGTTTAATACCTTTTCCAAATGATTTTGAATTCTTGAAAAAAGCTATCACAACCCCTCTGAGTCTGCTCTTCTCCAGGTTACATATTCTGAGTTCCTTCAATGGATCCTTATTCTGTTGACTCATAGTTCTTTACCATCCTGGCTGCTCTCTTCTACAAGATCTATAGCTTACGTCCTGCATAAAGTATGATGCCCCCTGCCCCACCTCACCTGAAGGTACTCGATGTTTTCTCTGGAGAAGAGCTATCTTGAAATAAGACATGATACTCATGTCCAAATATTAGATCTCATATCCGTCAAAAGTAATAATTGATACCCAATGTTCCTCCAATGTACCATAAAGAAAAATGGAATTTTATTCTTTTTTTTACTCCTAAAATTTTTAAAATAAAAAAAATTCTTAAAGCACTTTAGTTTTGGCTAAAAGACGATTTTTTTGGCCATCTTTTAATATAAAGGAACTGTTGCCAAGTAAAATAAAAATAAGTCCAAGAAACGAGGTTCAGAGGGCAAATGCTAATGGAATCTTCTCTATAACAAGTTCCTTCTGGCTCCAGACTAGAAAAATATTTCAGGCAATTGCTTGATAACTGTCTTTGGTGTTTGAAAATGACACCGACAACAGCACTACTTACTATGTGAAATATCTCATATGAGCAGATTACCCTTCATAAACAGAATTTGAGAAAAACAATGAAATGGACCCCAAAGGCAATAATTAAAAAGTTATCTAAAACAAAGCCAAGGATGAAAGCTAACATTCAGTAGGGTCACTTGATGATCAAAGTGCAAAATACGCGTGCAGGAAAAGAAATGGCAGAGATATGGGATGAAATGCTAAATTTGTAGATTATTGAGGAAGATGTCACAGAATGTTTGACATGTCTAATTAATTTATAAAAATACTCAATAAGACTGATCTCAACACTGAACCTCAGGAGATCTTTCTCATTTCCAAATTGGTTTTTTGCAGTATACAGATCAGAGTTATTAGAATAAGCAGCGATAAATGCTCAAAATAGTCAGTACTAATTGACAAGGTAGATGTAAATAAATCATTAAGACTGGATGACATCCAACCAAATGCTCTGAAGGAACTCAAGGGCGAAATTGTAAAATTGTTAGCCAAAATGTGTAACCTGTCATTATAAACAGCTAATGAGCCAGAGACTGGCCAACTGACAATGTGAATCCCAATCTATATAGGAGGGCACCCCTGTCAACAAAAAAGTTGCACTTCATGTCTGGAAAGGCATAATGGTGGGTAAGATCACTAAATACTCAGGCAAACAATCTTTGGAGAAAAAAGTAGGGAGAAAGTAATGTGGTTTTGATGAAGGGTTTATTTCTCACTAACTTACTAGAATCCTTTGAGGAGTAAATAAGAGCATGAACAAAGGAGAACCAGTGTATCTAATTTATTTAATACTTTCTAAGAGCCTTTGACAAAGTTCCAAATCAAAGGGTTCATTTTTAAATTGTTGCACTACAAGATTGGGGGCAAATGTGGAATTCATGAATAGGGACCTAGTTTAGAGATGGGAAGAAAATGGCAGGTATAATGAACCTTTCTGCAGATACAGAAAAGTAAACACTGGAGTCCTCTAAGGTTCAGAGTTGGAACCAATCTTACTGAATATTTTTGTAAGTTATTTAGAAAATGTTATTTATAGTGAATCTCCAGATTTAGAGATGGCATTAAATTCTTCCAGGAAGTAAAATATTAAAACAACCAGAATAAACTACATGTATATCTCAAAAGGCTGTGTGAGTAAGGATAAGAGTGAGAGGAGAGTTTCAAAGTGGACTAATGAAAGATAATGCACTTAGGGAAAAATAACCTAAATTCTGTTTAGCAGATGATGGGTTGTTAAGCTCTCAGCTCTGAACCTGTGAAAGAATCTACATGTGATTCTAGGTGGTTTGCTACACTGTCGAAAAATGTCCAACAGCATTTTGAGTATCCTTGGGCGGCACTGTGTGTGAATTGGACGTAAGGGGATGATTTAAGAACAAAACGTAAAACAAATAAAGTCCTACAACATTATGTGTATTTCTTGCTGCTATACCTTAGAAAGGATAAAAGTAGAAAAGATGATAATAATAATAACAACAAAAAGATGTCAATAATAATGATAACAAAAACTACCATAACATTAACTACTATTTATATAGTGACTATTATGTGCCAGGGACAGACTGTTTCAAGTATTTTACACATATTATTGCATTTGATCCTCACAACAGCCCTGGGAGGTAGGTACCATTGCTATCCCTATTTTACAGTTGAGGAAATTGAGGCAGATGGAGTTAAAGTGACTTGCCCAAGGTCACATAGCTAATAAATGAGGCTCTATTTCAACTCATGTCTCCCCAACTCTAGGCCCAATACTTTATCCACTGCACCAAAAGACAAAGGAATGCAAACAGAATGATTCGAGGGATGGGCTGGCAACCAAAGAAACACAAATAAGAATGTGCGAAAATAAAAGCAGAAAAAAAGATACACTTGACATCTATAAAAATCATGAAGAAATAAATAATATGGGCTTGGTCACCAAATCTCAGGTTGTTTATAAGTTTGGATAATTGCTTGAAAGCTAAAAACAACACATAGTTAATGAAAGGAGGTATTACCATACGTAATGGGTAGTTATGTAACTTATTACCCCCAGGGCATAAACAAATTTAAAACAGAATATATAAATTTATGGGAGACAATATTGAATTATAAAGAGAAACTAGGGTCGTTGGGGGTGATATTCCTAAACTCTGAGGATGACGTCAAAGAGTATAGTCATGCTCTTGTAATACGTTCTCTAGACCACGTATTTAAACTCATATGACTTAAGAAATTACGTATGACATGATATATTTTCACTAAGGGGAAAAGACAAATGTATTCCACAAGGGGCCAAGTCTACCTTCTATGATTATTTCTGACCCCAAACCAATCAGTTTCCCTGAAGCAACAGCCCTCCTCTGGATTAAAATTTACCTTAAGAATGAGGTCAACCTGAAAACAGAATTATCTAGGAAAGAACTCCCTATTTGATACCGCTCCCCACCCCAAAAAATGGGAAAGTGGAAAGCAATTTGTCAGAAATTAGGTTGAGGCCAACATATTACATCACATACCAAGCTCAAAATGGATGTAGCCTGCATATTAAAGGTCATACTTATATTTAAAAATTAGAAGAGAACCAAATCAGATAAATTTCACAGCTACAGCCAGAGAGTGAATCCTTAGTCAAATAAGAGAAAGAAGAGATTACAAAGATAAAATAGTTTATTTAGATTATATGAAATTAAAATGCTTTGCACTAACAAAGAAAACAACTAAGAAAAGAAGATAAGATGTTGATTGGGGGAAAATCATTACATCAACTATCACTAAAAGGATTCTGGTATCTAAGATATCAGTAACTCATACAAATACTTGAGCAAAAGCCATGCCCCAAAAGATAGTGGCTAAAATACATGAACAAAAAGATCTCAAAAGAAGAATTGCAAACTATTAACAACCCTATAAAAGAATTTTCTAAATCATGAATAAGATAAATATAAATTAAAATGAATCAATGGCTTCACCTCACACCTAACAAACTGGTGAAGATGACAAAAGTAAATGTTGCAGGGGTTATGGGAAAATATGCACATTAATGAACTGTTTATAATGTTGTGCAATGATCCAACGATTTTAGAAAGCAATTTGGAATAATTCAAAGAAAAGTGATGAAAATGTCTAAACCCTTTGACCCAAAGATTCCACTACTAAGCACATGCCACAAGGAGGTCAATGATAAAAAAATTACAATATACACCAAAATATTTATAGTAGCTCTTTTCATAGCAGCAAAGAACTGAAAACAAGTATGTACCCTTTGATTACAGAATGGCTAAGCAAACTGTGGGCATTAATGTAATAGAATATTATTGTGCTATAATAAATGATAATTATGATGAATACAGAGAAATATGGGAGGCATCATATGAAGTGATGCAAAGTGAATTAAACAGGAAAATAAACACAATATATTTAAACAGTAACAAAACAATTAAAACTGAATGCTGTGTAATTATAATGACCAAGCTTGGTCCCAAATAAAAGATATAAGGAGGCACTTCCCTCCCTTATTTACAGAGATAGGGGACCATGGATGTGGTATACTATAGATGTCAGACTTTTTAGACATGTTGGCTAGTTTTGCTGGGCTGTTTCCTTTTTTTTTTTTTTTTTTTATTCTTTGTTAGAAGAGATTACTTGTTAGGAGTGGGCCAGGGATACATTGGGAAATGTAGGTGGTACAAAAACAAATTGTACCGAATTTTATTTTTAAAATTTGCTCAAATGTCAATTGTAATAACTTAAAAGTATACTTAGCTTTAGTTACACAAACAAATTGAAAGCTGGGCAAAAAGTAATAATACCAAATGTGATTTTTCTTATCTTTGTTATATTTATCCTCATACCTTTGAAAACACAGTTTCTCCTAAGAATGGTAAAGTCTCCAAATTACTTTTCCAAAACATTATTCTGAGGGACTGAAGTAAGTTAATGAACAAAAAATGATTTTATTTTAAAGTTCAAATTTAAGGTCTTTGTAATTTTCTTGTTCATTAATTCTCAACCTGTAGTACGTGAACTTGCAGAGGTGAGCCTCCACAAACTGAAATAATGGTGATGCCTGACAAGATTCGGAAACATCACATTTATAGTACCTGAGGATGCCTAAAGGATAGAGGACAGGCAATAAAGAAACATGAAGGGAGTTGTGCTCTGAAATCAAGAGAAGTGACAGGCAGCCAAAAATATTCCTGTCTTTAGGGAAGTAGGATTATAACACCCTACTGAGTAGGATGTTGCAATAAATAAAGAGTTAAGTAGTTTGAAGTTTTAAAAAGGACTGTTTAAGCACTAAGTAATGCTTTAATTAGCACAATGAATCATAGTATGGCTAGTATTTACCTAAGGAAAACTTTTTAAGTTGTCACCCAGTTTGATCACTTTCTTTAATTCTCTCTCTTACACCAATGACAACTTCTCTTCCACTAAAGTATCCAAAGCTTGCTTCTTCTTTCATGCTGTTTTTCCTGATATCTACAGTCACTAGAATGTGAATAAATGAATTCTGGTGGAATTTGCCACCCCTCACAAAAAAAGTATAAACGTATGACAAAAAATAAAAAGGTATAACAAAAGTATAACAAAAAAAGTATAACAAAAATTTACATTTTACATAAAAAAATTTACATTTTTAAGGTTTCCACTTAATACTAAAAGCTATGTATTAATACTAAATTAATTAATACTAAAAACTATAGGGAACCTGTAGTCTCAAGTTCGGCCCTTTGACTGAATCCAAACTTCACTGGACAAATCCCTTTAACAAAAAGATTTGTTCTGTAAAACTTGGACTCAGTCAAAAGGCCTCACCCCAAGGACCGAGAAGGCCACATGTGACCTCAAGGCCGTAGGTTCCCTACCCCTGGAGACCCTTTTTGATACTGTTTATAGATCTGAACGAATGCTTTGATTCAAAGTCTTTAAATTTCTTCTTTTATCTTCATTAGTATTAATATTAGTTAGAGGAAGACCATCTTTTTATTTTTTAAATGTTTTTTGGTTTTTATTTTCTGAGCTGCACAATGATCATTCTCCTCCACTGCTGCCCTACTCGATGTCTCACCTCACGAAAGACGTGACTCAGAGGTCTTAAAGACGATGTTAACAGAATGCAAGTTCTGGCAGGTCCCACCCAATCTGCAAAGGTACCAAATACGGCCTGGCAACAGATACTCTGTCTTCAGACGACCAGCCCAATTAAACTCAGCTACCATTTGTCAGTAGGTTGCCTAAGAAACATTTTTTTTTTGAGCCACAAAAATTAATGAAACTTAAGATGCAAAAGGAGTTACAATATACATCAAAGGCTGAAATACAATACTGATGAAAGCACAAATCTTTTAAAATCAGTGGTAATGATGCACGTTATCAACTGCAATGTCTAGAGTTAAGACTAGTAACTACTGTTAGCCTTCCCAAATTCAAATCAACTACATCACACTGCTGCATTCACCTGGTCCAGCTTCTCCCATACTTCTTATATCTGCCTGTCCCTACACCCATTCCACCCCCCCCCAAAAAAAAACCAGACCTCATCCACCATTTCTGATTAAATTTCTTCAGGGGATGTTTTAAGGACAAAATTCTATCATCACACAGAGCCAGGCTGGCAAGCTGTAGCCAGCATTTGAAACTGTAATAGCCACCCATTAATTTAAAAAAGAGCACTGACCACCTGTTTCCAGTGATCAGTTCCATTGATTAGTCTCTGGAGCTTTAATTAATTTTCCACTTGTAGTTTAGCAGGCCTAGGCTTGACTTCCTTACTACTGTCCCTTGACTGCCAGGGAATTGACAAGCAAATGTTTCCATAAAACATGCTCAGCTGCTTCGAAAGTATTCAAGGCTAATCAGCACCAAAGTGAGAGCCTGCTGGCCTTTAAACAAAGATGCTTACTGAAACAAGGAACCACACACATTCTGAAACGGGGAGTTGGCAAAGCACAGGGAATTTCTTCATCTGAAGGTACTTTTGAGCAAAACTGACTCCTATACAAAGTAGTTTAGAAATAAAAATCAATGCTTCCTAGTCCTGGAAAGAAATCAAAGATGTTTGGCTGCCAAATGCCTTTAAATACACACACACACACACACACACACACACACACACACACACACACACA